TTGGATGCACATTAAACTAAAAATATATTTCAACTTTACAGGAATAAGCTCTTCTTATAATTGTCGATATTATCTTTCATTCTATTGAAATGAAAGCTATATATATATGAAGATTTTAAAAGTAAGCACAAAATATTTTTATGTCTTTCATTACCTCATTTCTTCCTTCATGTGCTCCTTACTTGGGAGTGCACTAAAGGAAAATACAAAGTAAGTTGTTGGTTATCCACATATAAGTAGAATCGCTACCAAGGGCTGTTAAAATTCCCAAGTAGATAAATCATAGCACAAGACACATTCTTTTAATACTTATCTTTTCATGGAAAATTTTGCCACTTTTCTTTGCCTCATTTTTGATATTTCATATCTTTTAAAAATTGTTTTCAGCAAGGAGAATTAGATATAAACCCCTACAAAGATATGTATTATTATGGCAGTCTGCATTTAGAAATGATAATGGCAAAAACCAGAAACCTTTACCTCAAAGTAGAATGCCCTTTAACACAAAACACAAAGACATAGTTTAAGTCATAATTATATGTATGATTTAGTGATTACTTAAAATCTCTGAGACTTATTTTCTTCATCTGAAAAATGAGGATTTGTTTTCCTACTTTACAACATTGTTATCAGATGAGAAATAATAGCACTTGTTCTTTTTATTAAAGCCTATGTTTTTAAAAGCCATAAAAAGAGGCTGAGTGAAAATCTTTGTGAACAGAGCTTGAATATATCTTGGGACGCCACCTCTCCTAAAATATTTATAAGATGTATTTGCTAGGTTGATGTGCATGTTCAGTTCTAAACCTCTGAAGTAACGCAGAAACCAAATACTGTGTTGGTTAATGGTAATGCAGATATAATGAAAATGTCTTTACAATTAATAACACTGAATTACTCCAAGGTCAAAAACTTTATTCAAACTCTGACTTACTCATAGACAGGCTGCATGATAAAGTAAAAAGCATGGGCAGAAACTTTGCAGACTTGAGTTCCAAGTACTTAATCCATTAACTCTGTGAATATGAGCAGATTAATTCACTAACTATGTGAATATGGTCAGAACACTTGAATTATCTTGTCCTCAGGTTCTTCATCTATAAAAACTTCTAGACTGAAGTAGATGAATTTTTAGTTTTTAGTAATGTAGTACTATCAGGAAGCAGGAAAGTTTCCTGTGACCACTGATATAATGCAATTAATGTATTTCTTCCTCACTGATCAGTGCTATACAACATATTCTTATTTAATATTGGCCATGTGCAAAGGACTCTGCTAGAAATTGTATGTGATTAAAATACTAACAAAAGCAGTTCCTGCCTTGTCAGAGCCAATAGACCTTGTCGGCATCAACAGATCTATTGAGAAGGAGAAGTAACCATAATGCTAGTTAGAATTTAAATGCCCTGTACAAGTACAAATCAAACCTGTAAATTGCTAAAGAGACAGGGAAATGAGGTAAAAGAGAAGATGATGTTTGGCTGAGGTTTGAGGGCTAAGTCAAATTTAACAAGCAAGTTTGTTGGGGAAATACTTTTACAGGTGGAATAACAGGCTTGAACCAGTACACCAGCAGAGAAGCTCTGGAAAAATATTGCTTATTTTTCTAAAACATGCCAAATATGATCGCAAGTGGTTGAAGTTTAAAAAAAAAAAAGTGAGTCCTTTCCAGATCATGAAAATCTTTTCCAGATCAAGAAATGCTAAAAAATTCAAAATGTGTTCCATAGGCTGTGCAGCAGGCTCGAGGGCCTTTGAGATAACAGCGTTTTAGATAGGTTGGGATGCAGGGAAACGTAGGGAATGGAAAAACTCAGTATTTGGTTGATGTTCATGTTCCCATGTTTTTCCCATGTTTGACAGGGAGTAAATATGAGTTGCATCAAATAAAAACCAATATGACCTGGCAAGTGATTAGATATGGATATCAAGGGAGGGAAATGTGGGAAAATATATTCTCCAACATGTGTCATGTTAATGGGTAGTGGGTAATGGCATTAGTGGTGGAAGGAAATAAAATCAATAGTGTGTCTTAAAAAGAAAGGTCAATTTGTCCATAAAAGAAAGAATAGTGATTATACAGAAAAATGTTGTTTGAAAAAGGAAGAAATTTTAGAGAATTTGTAACAGATGTCCTGTCTTCTCAGAGGAAGATGCAGAGTCATCTCTTAAGGTAGGTGGTGTCTGGTGTGTAGACTGGAAAGGGTTTGGAATCATTCCCACAGAGAATAGCATAAGGAAGAGTCAACTGGAGGTGAACAGAAGAATTTCTGAGCAACTCCATCCAAGTGTATTCTAATAATAGAGTCCAAAATTTCTAGTTGAGCCAGTTGGCACAATTTTGTGACTTTTTCTGGTAACACTCAGCCACCCAGTACTGAGATCAGAGAAAATATACTATAGTATTTTCCCAGCAGTGAAGTGTAGGTACGAAAGTAAAGATAGCAATAGACCAAAGGGACTTCTTGATGCTAATAAAAAAACTACAAAAAGTAGTGGGTAACTGATTCACGTAGGACTGGACCTAGAGGGAAACTAAAATAAAAGTGGTTCAAGGAATTAAAGACAGCATTAGTGTAAAGAATTGGTTCACTGAGTACAAGAGGAAAAGAGAAAGAAAAGGTGGCTGTGGCCAGAGGAATTACCAAATTCAGGATTTTAGAAATGAGGTGGTTTTTGGTTTTGTTTGTTTGTTTGTTTTACTTTCCAACTTTCATTTTAGGGTCAAGGGGTACATATGCAGGTTTGTTACACGGGTAAATTGCATATTTGAGGGGTTTGGTGTACAGATTATTTTATTACCCAGGTAATAAGCATAGTGTCCTATAGATAGTTTTTTGATCCTCACCCTCCTCCCACCTTCCATCCTCAAATAGGCCCTGTTGTCTATTGTTCGCTCCTTTGTGTCCATTTGCACTAAATTTTTAGCTACCACTTATAAGTGAGAACATGCAGTGTTTGGTTTTCTGTTCCTGTATTAATTCACTTAGGATAATGGCCTCCAGCTCCATCCATGTTCCTGCAACAGACATGATCTCGTCCACTGTTGATGAACATTTAGGTGGATCCCATGTCTTTGTTATTGTGTAAAGTGCTGTGATGAACATATATGTGTATGTGTCTTTTTGATAGAATGATTTATATTCCTTTGGGTGTATACCCACTGATGTGATTGCTGGGTCTAATGGTAGGTCTAAGTTTATTGAGAAATCTTTAAAATGCTTTCCATAGGGGCTGAACTAGTTAATATTCCCATCAGTAGTGTATAAGTGTTCCCTTTTCTCTGCAACTTCACCAGCATCTGTTATTTTTTGACTTATCAATAATAGCCACTCTGACTGGTGTTAGGTGGTATCTCATTGTAGGTTTGATTTGCACTTTTCGAATGATTAGTGATGTTGGGCAGTTTCTCATATGCTTCTTGGCCACATGTGTGTCTTCTTTTGAGAAGTGTCTGCTCATATCCATTGCCCATTTTTTAATGAGGCTGTTTGCTTTTTGTTTGTTGATCTAAGTTCCTTATCAGTTCTGGATATTATACCTTTGTCAGATGCATAGTTTGAGACTATTTTCTGCCATTCTGTGGTTTGTCTATTTACTCTGTTGATAGTTTATTTTGCTGTGCAGAAGCTCTTTAGTTTAATTATGTCCTATTTGTCAATTTTTGCTTTTGTGGCAATTTGTTTTGGAGTCTTTGTCATAAATTCTTTGCAAGGGCCTATGTCCAGAATTGTATTCCCTGTGTTTTCTTCTAAAATTTTTACAGTTTTAGGTTTTACATTTAAGTCTTTAATCAATTTAAATTGACTTAGTCCTTGAATTGATTTTTGTACATGGTGAAAGGAAAAGGTCCAGTTTCAATATGTATATGGCTAGCCAGTCATCCTAGCACCAATTATTTAAGAGGGAGTTCTTTCCCCATTGCTTGTTTTTGTCAACTTTGTTGAAGATCAGATGGTTGTAAGTGTGGCTTTATTTCTGAGTTCTCTAACCTGTTTCATTGGTATTTGTGTCTGTTTTTATACCAGTATCGTGCTGTTTTGGTTACTGTAGCCTTGTAGTATAAAGTTGGCTAGTATGATGCTTCTGGCTTTGTTCTTTTTGCTTAGGATTGCTTTAGCCATTTGGGCTCTTTGTTGGTTCTGTATGAATTTTAGAATGCTTTTTTTTTCTAATTCTGTGAAAAATGTCATTGGTTTTGATAGGAATAGCATTGAATATAAATTGCTTTGGACAGTATGGCAATTTTAATGATAGAAATGAGAGGGTTTTGAGTAATCACTGTTTTTGTACCTTTTGACATTTTATTTCCAAGATTTAATCAAGAGTGTTTGTTATTCCTCTCAAGTAATGACTTACCAAGGGGTACATGGGGAGCTGTTTTTCTGGACTGGGAGAAGTATTTGATCACTGAAGATATTTAGAATTGCGGGTGCATGACATCATAGTGGTAATAAAAAGAAAACTGAATTTTGTTCCATTGCATTAACAGACGATACAAACAATGCACTCACTTACTGCTCATCCCTAGGATGAACCACTTTTCACTCAATGCCCCCCACATGATCTCAAGTTCTCTCTGGAGTTGAAGAATGACTAAAATGGTAGTAGAAAGAGATAATTTTATAATGTGAACTAAATGTCAACAAACTATGGCATGCAGGCCAAATCTGGCCCATTCCCTGATTTGCTTATTACATTTGTTTTACATATTGGCTATGGCTGCTTTTGCACTGTAAGGACAAAGTTGAGTAGATGGAATAGAGATCATATGACCCTCAAAGCCTAAATATGCGCTATCAGGCCCTGAACATTAAAGGTTCCCAGACCTTTGTTCTAAATACTTAGGACCAGAAAAGGCATTACTTGTTTTGCGAACCTGTAAACAGGCCAAGTGTTTCACATTCATATACTAGGCCAGTAGTTTAACAGTTGTCTTTGTTAAATGTTTAGCATTGACTATCATTATATTTACCCATTAATTTTTCTTTTTATTGTAGTCCCTGCTATGTGGATATTTGGTAGCAATGACTGATGTGGAAACTACCTATGCAGATTTTATTGCTTCAGGAAGAACAGGTAGAAGAAATGCTATACATGATATCCTGGTTTCCTCTGCAAGTGGCAACAGCAATGAATTAGCCTTGAAATTAGCAGGTCTTGATATCAACAAGACAGGTAAGTCACGTGGCACACATTTCTCTATGAACATAGAATGATTTGCAGCATTTTACTAAGTGGGATTAAGACACCAAAAGCCATCTTTGAAAGTAATCTAATATAAAGAGTTTTAAACAGTCTAAGGCAAGATGAAAGTCTGAGACTAATCTCTTAATCACTCCTGCTCTATTTTCAGTGATGTCTCTTTAGAAGGCTTTCCACTCAAATGCAGAGTCCTTAATCTGATTGTATTAATGCAATCAATAAAACACATGGTGTTTTTTTAATCCTAATTTCTGTAAAAGTTCTGAAATTGCTTACGTTCAGTATTTAGGAAAGTTGGAGCTCCTACCTTTGACATTATTGGCCACCTCTAACATTTACTAACATTTAGTAGATAGGTATTTAACAAGATTCACAGGTAATTCTGACAGACTTCAATTCTAAGAACAATTTTAGAAAAAAGAGTCTCCAGGACGAGTTTTATTAAGAATGGAAGTAAAGTGATCTGTTATGTAAGTAAGTCTTAGGTAAAAGGGCCTTTTGGTTTCCCTTTCCAGACAGAACGGGTTTGTGAAAAATTTGTCTTCTTACTGACCTTGAATTCTTACCCAAGGAGTCTATCTTTATTAATGAAAAACAAGTCTGATGGATTAAAATACTTGACATTTTTACTTCTGAGTATTAGAATAAGTCCCTTGATAGTTCCTCCACCCATAGCTTTTGCAGATATCAAAGCTGAATGTGTTTCCTTGAGAAGACTTGTATAAAAATAGCCTTTAAAAGTAAAAAGAATTCATGATTAGGGAACTCTGATATTATGTGCATGGAAAGCACTTATCTCAGATTCCAAATCCTAATTATTCAATAGGTCTTCACTGTTAGAATTTTTAAGGCAAACCTTTTAGATTATTAGAAAACTGAAGAGTATATGTGTATGTGTATGTGTATATATATACACACACATATATATGTGTATATATATATACATTTATATGTATATACACACATATATTTATACATATATATATTAATGAAATGGCTCAGCAACATTACTTTAAAATACATAAGGATAGTATTTTATTCAATGGCTAAAGCTTAGTAGTTCCTGACTGGTCTTTTCAAATTCACATTAATAATAAAACTTTAACATCACCACTTTGGAAAATGTAGACCTGTGTATATCTTAGGTTTCATTGTTGTGCCATTATTACCACCAGTGGTTACTTCCCAGAACAGCTCTGAGAAAGACTGTATAGGGAATTATTCCAATTTGGTAACATGAGATGGATAAATACATTTTTCCTGAAGTCTTTCATAAGATTTATATTTTCCTTTTTTTTTTTTTTTTTTGAGATGGAATCTCACTCTGTTACCCAGGCTAGAGTACAGTGGTACAGTCCCAGCCCACTGCAACCTCCACCTCCTGGTTCAAACAATTTTCTGCCTCTGCCTCCCGAGTAGCTGGGATTACAGGCACCCACCACCACACCTGGCTAAATTTTGTATTTTTAGTAGAGACGGGGTTTCACCATCTTGGCCAGGCTGGTCTTGAACTGCTGACCTCGTAATCCACCTGCCTCAGCCTCCCAAAGTGTTGGGATTCCAGGTGTGAGCCACTGCACCCAGGCTATATGTTATTTTTCATACAAATATGCTATTTTAAATAGCCTGCATTAATTTTAGCCACTCTTAATATTAAGATATTTTTATTCATGGCGTAATTTAATTTCTTCTTTTTTATTTTTCCTGAAGTTGAGAATTGTTAGCCCCAAGATTGTTTAATTTTCCTGAAAACATATTAAATTATTATACATCATTTACAAAATAAATTGAAATTTTATATTAATAAATATAAATAATTTTTGTTATATTATTAATTTAAAATAAATTATCTTTAAACTTCTGATTGTCTTCTTTTCTAAACATTTTTGCATGTTAATGGCAATTCACTAGACTCCTGCAACACTTTCTATTTCTCTTCAAATTATAAAGTCCAAAGCCAGGCATAGTATAAAAAGCAATAACTTTGTTTATTTTAAGTACAAAAAATCTAAAAATAAGAACTGTATAATATGAAGGTCTAAAACATAAAAAAAGACAAATATGTAATGACAAGCTCAACATCACTAACTGAGAATTGCAAGGAATTTCCTTTGTAATTTGTAAATGTTTCAGCTTCATTTTAGTTTATACTCAGCAATATTGCTATTTCACATTTACCTTTATTTGTTAATAGCATCTATATAGCAACACCCTCTATGTTTGCAGCATAATGCCAAGCTCTGAAAAGTGTCCCCAGACACCTACAAGGTCTCAAGCCCCATGAGAATCAAATTCCTCAATCTTGTATTTATACAATCTCTTTCATCCTTAAATATTCTACTGTCTTACGTAGCCCTAATTTGGCTTTATTTCTTTGGTTACCAAAAGCTTCTCCTATTTATCAAGTTCCTGTGGCATGCTAATCTACACATCTCAGAACCAGGCCATCTGCACATCATGGGAGGCTCTCATAATAAAATAGTGCATGAAAATCAGATATAATGTCTGATCATACCATTGGTACTGTTACTAGAAGAAAATATTTTTATGTAGAAGAATTGGTTTTAATTTTCCTAAAGATTTAATGTCGTGGGAGTATGGTGAGGTGCTTTGTGTGTACTTGCTAAGAGTAGAGGAGAAACTGCATTATAACATTATGGTCTAAAGAATGGACCAGCCCACTTACCTGCTTTCATTTGAATTATAATAACAAACACTTAGCAAATATTGATTCATTTATATTATTGCAACACCAGAAAACATTTTGTCCACTAAGCCAATATTGGCTGTCTGATAACCAAATATTGCATGCAGATATTTGAATCTTTGAGTCTAGAATTGCCAACAGCTTGCACTTATATAAAGTGACCTAATATGGAGTGAAAGCATTGTTCAGGTTTAATGTTCACTGGATAAGATTGCTACTGAGGGTGCAGTTATGAGGGTGGTTTTATTGGAATTGTGCACATGTTCTCTAACGGCAGACCAGAGGCCATTATAACTATTTGATAAGGGACTGGCCAGCTGACATAGTGTCCTTTCATTTTCCAATACTGCTTTTACTTTGAACTAATAGAACCTCTGAGAAATTAGCTAGGTTATCGTCAAGTGCTATAAAAAGCAGAAAATGCAGTTTTAAAATATTTATTCAAATAAGATAATTAGGCATAAAAAGGTAAACATGTTACCACATCTGATTTGAACTTAAATATATTTCTGATTTCTGCAACCTGTGAAAGTATATTTAAGTGACATGAACTGCCCATGAGATTTCTGAGCTGTTTATCTGAGGCTTAGCTGATCACCAACTACTCTGAAAATTTGAATATTATTTGTTTTTGAGTCATGCTATTGCAAGCTCACAGAATTAATCAGTCCTTGAAAACTTAAGCTGTTTTCTTAGTGATGAACTGACTACCAAGAAATATACTTGTCCCTATGAGGGTTTCAGGCCTCTTTAGTATTTCTGAAGTTGCCAATATGACATATTAAGAGTTGGTAAATATAAGCAATCATTTTTATTTTGCCTTTATTCTGTTTTTATTTTTCTTTTGCAGAAGGTGAAGAAGATGCACAACGAAGTTCTACAGAACAAAGTGGGGAAGCCCAGGGAGAAGCAGCAAAATCTGAAAGCTAACACCCCACTTTGACCCTCGGCAACATCTGACAATGTCTCAAATCTCCAGGAGTGTCTGGAATGCATTTGTTTCCATGAGTGAAAAGAGGAAAAAGAAAATGGCTGTGCTGCATTGCAGGAACCTGCTCGTTATCATGTTAAAAATGGGGGCAGAGGCTGTGGCTGCAGGCAGACTTTTCCCTACCTCTGTCATTAGCAATGGTTGAAATCATGTGGCTTTTGTTTGGGCGTCATTTTTGTATGGATCCTTTCACTTGATCATATGATGAAATGCTTATAGAGAGTAGCACCGACCTAGATGATGATTCTTCCTGTAGCATCTGGCCCCTCACAATGTCAGAGGATTTAATTGTGTCTAATTGCGAAGGGTTGATTGAACACCAGAGTTTAAATATCTCTGGCTCAAGTGTTCACCCAGTAAAAGAAAGATCCAGAAAGCACTGTTTTTAGCATTATGTATCTGTGTGTTACTGCTGTGTTATTTACACTGTTTTGTATTATACAATATAGATGCTCAGCACTGCCCCCTTCTCTGATTGCTTATGAAAAACAAAATGATGTACATTACTGTGAATTTTTATACCAATCATTTTTAAAAGGGCTGTCTTTTTTTTTTATTTTCCATGCTGTGGTGGTGTACACAGGATAGAACATACTTTTTAAAAACAGTCTTTCCCCTTGCTCATTGTATGTTGATGAGTTGATTAAGTCTAACAGATTTATCAAAACTCTATTGCTATATTAGACAGACATTTGAAAATATCCATTAATGTGAATATTACCTGAATTCAGTCTGTTTGGTGTCTGCACAGACTGAAATTCAATCTGTCAATTTTGTTTTATTCTCAAGTGGAGAACTTCTCACATCTAATATATATACATGTATGTATATGAGAATTTTGGACAATTGGAAAAGTATAAAGGAAAAGCCAAGATCACACTGAGGACTGGAAGTAGTTTGTTTTATGGAATCAAATTTCTCACAATGCTGTATGATACTATTTAAATTTGGAGGACAACTTATCTTCACAAAGCTGAATAAGGTGGAAAAAGTAATCTCCTTGCAATCATGTGGACACCAATCACAAAAGCAAAGCCCTGGTGTTGTGTTTTCATGTCTTTTTTCAGCCCTCTCAGATCCAAATGTTATTATGCACTTTTTAATGTTTGTAAACTTTTACTAATAATTAGTGTGAATTGCATTCTGATACAATAATGATTATCATTAGAAGCTAACAAAATTCTTGTTACTACTGTGTTTGATAGCCTCTGCTGTGTTTTAACATCGTGGTTCTTATATGGAAAGTTTTTGTGAGCTGTGTAATGCCTCTGGTCAGTATTATGAAATCATTTGTCAGTGGTAATAAATAAGGAACCAGTACTATGCCAATGGTTCATGAATTACTGGACAAATAGCAGACAATGGGAGACACTTTACAGCAACAAACCCCCTTAGCTGTCCTTGAGGACTTAGATACTGTTCCATATGAAGTAGGTAGAGCAGAATTTCAATAGGTAATCTGTGTGGTTGTGCCAGAAACTCAGCTTTTCTATGTAAAATTACATACAGGATAAAAGGTAAGTCTGCTCACATCTCCTTCTACAGGACACTTCAAATGACTGGAAGTAAGGGCATGGGTGGCATTTAGCCCTCAATCAGATACTACTAGAAAAGAAGTTAATAATGTCAGCCTTTCCAAGAGCAGGAAGAGGAAAGATTAAATTTTAGAATGCTATCCTTCTATCTAATCCATCAGGGGCCAAAATGCCCAGTAAAATTCACTTGATCTTAGCCAAAAGGCCAAGAAGCGATGTACCCAGTAAAATTCAAACACATCACCCATTAACAGACTCACAAGTGAGAAAAGAGGTTTCTAGGGTTATTTTAGGCAATCTCTGGTAATCTGTTTAAACCATCCAACTTCTACAGTCAGTTTTCAGTATCCTCATTTAATATTTTAATAAGTTTCTTGTGAATCTAAATTTCTCTTCTTTCTTAAGGTTGTGAAATTCCAAACTGATTTTATGTGATTTTGTAAAGTTTAGAACCAGTGCTGAGTATATGTGGAAGGTTTATGTTCCTATGTGATATACTATTATTCATGCATGTGGTGCCATGCTTGTCTTTGAATATACAAATAGTGCTAAATTGCAAAGTCATATGGAGCCTTTGATTTAGTTTGACTTATTACCACTGCTTTGTCTGCTATATCGAAACCCAAAGGCATTCCCAAGCTGGGGAGATAAAAATTAATTTTCCAAAATGTCCACATCTTATAAACTTTGCTTATTCACAGTATCTTCCAAATTTTATTTTAATTTCTTTTATTTGCAAGTCAAGAATATACATGGATCTGAATTTTTAAAGAGAGAAGGAAAGGGCAGGAAACCAGAGCATTGGATGCCTATTAACCAACTATTCATATGCTAATGGTTTTGCAGCACATATTCTCCCATTTGATCCTCAGACAATTCTATTAGTGTGGTATTTTTATCCAATTTCACAGATTAAAATATTAGCACTCCATAAAGTATCACCTTTAGAGGCTTAAAAAGCTAGTAAGTGAGGAACTTAGGATCTGAACCCATGTTTGTCACCAAGGAGCTTTCTAGTGCACATGTCATAAAATTAGAGCCAACTGCAGAGCTGTAAGGGAACTTTCAGAGATGAACTTCTTTGGCCTCCATAGTTTAGAGAAGGAAGCTGAATCCCAGAAGGGGAAATGACCTTTCTTAAAGCTCTAGATGGGTAATAACTCAGATATGAGTAGGTCATACAAAGTATACCTTTAAAAAAAAAAGAAATTCAATTATATCTTATTTGGGGTGTATATTTCCCGGAAGGTATTTTTCTGGCATGTGGTCTGTAAACATAGAATGATTCTTTTGCTTTTTTTTTTTTTGAGAAGAAATCTCACTCTGTCACCAGGCTGGAGTGCAGCGATGTGATCTCGGCTCACTGCAACCTCCGCATCCCAGGTTCAAGTGATTCTCCTACCTCAGCCTCCCAAGTAGCTGAGGCTATAGGCACATGCTTCCATGCCCAGCTAATTTTTGTATTTTTAGTAGAGATGGGGATTTCACCATGTTGGCCAGGATGGTCTTGATCTCTTGACCTCATGATCTGCCTGCCTCGGCCTCCCAAAGTGCTAGGATTACAGGCGTAAGCCACTACACCCAGCCATGATTCATAGTCTTTGTTTCATGCTACTCATTTTGTTTAATTACCAACAAACATGGGGACTTTGGTTTTTTGACTTATTTACAATAAGCATGAAATTGTTAAATTTACCTTTTATCAATTGTAAGCATCCTATGCCAACATATTGTTATCATAAATTCATATGAATATTTTTCCAACAAATAACAGAGATTGAAATCCAATTTGTAGATAATACTCCCAGAACAGTAAATGGTAAATGCCCTATACTTGAGTCTTACTTAGATACGGTAGCAATGTACCATTTTAGAAGATGAACGATACTGTTTATCTTCAGGGAAACAATAATGGATAAAGAAATGTAACTGCTGGGCAGCAAAGCTTCTAAGTGAAACACATAGTAGTAGTAGAGAGAAAATGTAATCATCAAGTGAAAATAAGAAAGGATCTATGATTTATGATGTCTTAATAGACCCTAAATTGTTCTTTAATTATAAGGGTGGCAGTCTCTGAAGTCATTTGTGAGCTTGTATGACTTTTGTATTTATCAATATTGCATGCTCACATAATTGATAATTAAAAGTAACACATTTTTCTGAAATGTACACAGTCTATTAAGAGTATTTATTGAATTAACACTATGTACTTGGTGTTAGAGAGTGCTGCAGGTGATAAAAGAGAAATTCAATGCCTCAGTCATCCTGCAGTGGACAAAGCTAGGACTCCAGGTTCACTCTTTCCTGGCCTTTACAATAATCATTTTCACCTCCATTCCACTCAAGTAGCCCCCTTCCTGGTCTTTGTCATCTATCAGAAACATCCCACCTCCTAGACCTTAAGCCCCAATACCATGCCTATGGTTCTTACTTGCTTATGTGCAGGGAGATGATTTTCAGTCAGGAGAAAGACAAGTGTTTATCAGAATTCCTGGAAAGTTTTTACAGCACCCACCCTCTACCCCTCCGCATAAAGACATATTCACACACAAACACTCTTTCTCTTAAAATAAGTTTCTACATGACTTTGATCCTTTTTTTCCACCCACCTGCATCCCCACCACTTTAGATCTGATCTAGAAATTCAAGGCTTCCTGATGCACCCACCCTGCCCACTCCACTGCAAGGCTTTGAAATGAGTCAGGAACAAAATGCAGTCCTCACAGACACCCATGGTTTTACTGCATTAAGGGTAACATTTTAGGGTAGAGAAGCAAAGAGAGCTTATCTTCTTTTCTTAGTGTTTCTCTCCATCATTTTATCTTTATCACATACAGACAGTAATGACCAGAGACCCAGGTGGAGCTTGGGAGAAAGCAGGCATCAAACTGCACTTAGCCTGAATCCAGGCAAGTTCTACAGCTCAAAGAGCAAAAGGGGATATAAATATGTAAGTTCACCTTACTCAGATTGCAAGGATAAAACACTACATAGGTTTTGAGACCAAAAAAATGCCAGCCAGTGAAACAAGAGCCTCTAGTGTCTCTTCTCCTTGTATATTTCTTGTATCTGTCTAGTTCAGGCTTGGGGATTTGGGATCCTTTTCATCTTTAATACTAAAGTCAAAATTAACAAAATTATTTGATTATAACCTATTAACTTCCTAATTTGCAACACATCTTTCTGACTGGATTAATATGGATGCTTCCTCAGCAACCTTCCTCCTAGCCCTAGTCCTAGTCCTAGTCTAGAATCCATTGTTCATATTTCTCCTAGGTGCTCCTCAGGTGCCACATTTTCTTGCCTTTCTGCCATCTCTGCCCCATCAAAATCAATTAGACCATCTCGTTTCTCTTTGCTTGTCTTCTGGATGACTGTAAAAAGTTTTAAACAATGCTTATTCATTGTTTGCAACCTCAGTCTGAATGTAAGTGCTGCACAGCATTCACTTTTTATGTCCCTGGGGACAGAGGAAGCTTCCCACATTCTGGCTAAGATTTATTCCTTCATTTGATGTTTTTAAACAATTTTATTCTGACTTTAACAGGAGATCTATTAATTACCCTTTTTTCTTTACTGACTTTACCATTTTTCACAAATGTGCTCAAGTTTTCCATTTCCTCTGTTTACTTCATTAGTTATGTTTCTCAAAATAGTAATATATACTCCCATTTTCATGCTTCTTCTCCTCCTTATTTCTTATTATTTTGCAATTTGGCTTCCAGTAAAATTTTTCTCATTATCAATGACATCTTTAGTAGCTCATTGAGTCTGTTACTGTCATTGAATCTCTGACCAATGTGGAAATTAAAAGGTGATGATGATTCAGAGGACTCAGATTCACCTTAAATCAAATTTATTTCTTTTATATTTTTAATTAATACTAGTATGAGAGGGTATCACTGCATAATAAAGTCTTTTTTGACTATATAGAATCAACATATATCAAGAAAAAGTCAGTGTTCTCTCAAAGATAGAACTTCCATTATGTATAAATATGCCCTTATTCTGTGACCACAATCTCCCCATGTTTGCTTGCTATGTATTCAGATCCTATAGTACTCATTTCTTTATAGGGGTAGTTGTCACATATCTGGGCACCAACGTAGAGCCTAGATGTTCATGGATGGGCAAGATTATCTTAGGATGTTGCAAAGTTCTGTGTTCCATTACACTCTTGGATAAATGTTAATGATGTCACTATTCCTCTAAACAGCAGCCATGTATGAGTAAAATCCCAGTCTTGCTGAACTTCTCTGAATTATGCCTAAACAAATATATCTGTCCCCAAATGCAGTGGGTCATGTTTGTATGTTTTATTAGCCTACTCAATGACAGTTAATCTGGTTCACCATGGAATTTTTAAAAAATTTTTCATTCACCTTCCTTTTTCTTCCAGGTGTCTTTAGTGATTTCTTGTTCCTTTCTCTCTGACACCTTCTCACTCTCCTAAGACTAGTTCCTCCTTGTCTACCTCCCAACTAAGTTTAATGGTTCCCTGGGTTTCCATTCTCATTCCTCTTCTCTAATCTCTCTCTCCAGATGACTTCTTCCACTCCCACATCAGCAGATACATTCCCTATGGTGAATCTCACATCTTGATCTCTAGCCCAGGAGTCACTCCTCATGGATCGCTAAAAAAAATTTAAAATTCAGTGTTCTAATACTAAATCCAGTGCATGAACGCATTTTCAAACCTGCTTTTCCTCATATGCTGCAGATTTCAGATCATGGTAGCACTGATTTTCCACTGACCTTAAATCAAAATTCTTGGAGCTCTTTTAGCTCTTCTTCCTCTGATTTGTTTGTTTGTTTTTTGGTCAATGGAGTCTAATTATTCACTATTTATTGAAACTACCCTCTTTTTATCTGCACTCCAATCCTTTCAATCATTACTTATCTGTTATAATTCAATGACCTGCCTTATCCAGCACTCTTTCTAGCCATCTTGCCACCAAATGTATTGCTCTGATACATTATTCTGATCATGTATCTCTCCTAATTAAAAAATCCTTAAGTTTAGCCAGACAAAAGTTTATGGTATAAGTACCACATTGTATTTGTGTATAACTCCTTGCTCTGTGTTAGCTTTTATCCTGTTCCTAAAACATGCTTCATGCTTGTTGGCAAAATCTCATTGATCCTTTCAGACTATGCCTCATTTCATCCTTTTTGGTAGAGTCTTTCTGACTCACATATCCATTCCCAAGCTCTACCCTAGGAAATCAGCTATTCTATACTCCTTGCTCTCTAACAATTTATCCACAAATGGATCTCTCTATCATAGCTGTTTACTCACATGCATATCTCTCCACCTTGAGTGTGAGCTTTTTGAGGGCATCAACTCTCTTTTATTCATCTTTGTATCCTCATTGTTTATTATTCAGTAAATGTTTGTAAATAAATAATATCTGCCCTCCTGAAGCTCACAATAAAGTTAAGAGACAGAATCTACACATAGATCAGTTAGGGAAAAATGCAATTCAGAGATAAAATTGATGGTTGAAAATAGTGAACTCTCAAGAATATTACATTGCAGAGGGAAAAAAAAGCTTGTTTCCTAT